TGCTCCTGTGACACCAGCCAGCACTGCATTCTCTCAAAAGACACAGCAGAATGCTTTTGGTGTCAAACTGGGACTATTTTTTTCTTCCAAATTCAACACAAAATTCCTGTTTCTGGGAGTTCTCTGGGATAAAGCCCAACACAGGCATCTCCCAGAAAATGCAGGACAGTTGGTCACTTTAACTGGGCAAATCCTGGTTAGGCACTAGATTGGACAACAGAAGCCTCATCCTTTCAAAGGATTGAAAGACTGTCTTTCCAGTCAACTGGCCATGTCGGCACTTTCTGTAGAGCAACTTCTCCCACCAGGCTCAGCAGGACTCAACTTTCTGATGTTCCAGTGCATATTACATTTAGGACCAGTATACCATAAAGCCAATCTGGCCAACCTCAGTAAGTCATGGGCCCCCATGCAGTGTGCCAGATTCATTAAAACATGGCAGCTGCATGTGGAAAGGCCTGTTGTGGAGACTACAGCTGGGAGGATTCCTGCCAAAACTCCCCAAATCCTGTTTGTGGCACCATGGAGGACGGCAGTGGCTGCTGTGGGAGAGAAATAGAAGGCAGGTTGGAATCAGCAGGACAATACAAAGGTGATGTAGCAGCCATAGGAACTGGATACCACGTCTTCTGTGAGAAAATAAACACACAATTCCTGTTAGGGTTCCATTCCCACATTCATGAGATACCCTCGCTCAACACTACGATTCAGGCACCTATCAATAGCTATTTCACTCCAAAACTCACTCAGTTCACTAAGATGCAAGCCAGCTGTAAGAAGAGATGCAACCAGGATACGGAAACAACCAAAGATTAACTAAGTTCCTATCAGTAATACAAAAAGCCATTTTATTTAGCGTTCCTCCTACTCCGGCACTATCCCCTTAAAGATTCCAATGACTACTAGCATTCAGGCAACTTCTTAGGACTTTCTGGACTTGCTCCCTGTCAGTTGCAATTAGAGGTGTTCTGATGACCCTTAAATGTCATTGATTGCTCATGGCTTTTACTCCCCTGTCTTACAGAACTGCAAACAGGAAAGGTTGAGCAACTTGTGCATGTCCATTTCAATAGTCTGATCTTTTAAGTTAGTGATGTGCAGCAAGTAGATCAATTGGATAGAATCCTAGAAAGGTATCTAAAATACAACCAGGTTTCTGCTGAAGGCAACTACCCACACATGGGGTGGACAGGGGACACCATTAGTTAATCTGGTCCCTCTGTACTTTAAAGACAATCTGAGAGTTGGGATAAAATTGAACCTGCCCCATAGCACCTTGTCCACCTCTGAACAATACCAGTTCAGAATGTGGGCTGTAGGCCACGCTCCTTGGGGCAATGGCTTTCAGTGAAGTCACAGCTCCACAGATTTTAGCAGAGCTGACATTTTATCCCTACTCTTATTTTTCAGTACAGCAATGTGCACATGTAGGGTGTTGTGCAAAGAAGAGCAGTAAAAATATGCTAGTTCCCATTCAAAATTCAGATTCAGGAGTAGGATCTAGGTCCACCTCTGATGTGAACCAAAGTATTATGAATGTACATACTGAAATATATTGATCTGATGCTATTAAGGGGGATGGCCTAGGCACATAAAACTGAGATGAACTGACTTGTTCATTTAATTAAAAATCCTTCCTACCTGGTTGCAATTTAGTAAGAAGCCACAAGAGGACAGCACGATCCAAGCCTTCATACTCCACTTCAAAAATTTGAGTCCCAAGCAAGAGGAGAAGGAGGAAGCACTACATTTATCATCATGCAGCACTTCTTAAATGTTATTATTAGGGTGTTTGAAGTTATACCTAACTGAAGAAAGGGTGCAATTGATTGAATGTTTGTATTTTCTTCAGTCTTTACTTCCCAGTAGTCCATCTGTTAATGGTTTGGAAGATGATTGGTATTCACTCTGCTCACAAAGGTGGGCCAGTATCATTATATATATTTTCCAGGTGGGAAAATTGAGGCACAGTTTAGTGAACCGACTTATCCCCAAGTCACATCAGAGATAGCAATAGAAATCCCCTCCTCTAATCTGCAGCTATGCGCTGGCCCCAGCTAAACCACTGACACCCTGATACCTGGCTGATAGCTACTCTGACACAAAAGGAACGATTGCAGCACTTAAATCTCACTGTAGCAAGTGGGACAGGAGGAAAGTAGCTGCAGGAAGTAATCACAGTGGGCACGTCTATACGTGCCCCTACAGCGCTGTTGTTACTGTGCCATCATTTAGTACTTCCTTAGGAGGTACCAAATGACGGCACAGTTACAGCTGGTGGCACACACTTATTTTTAGCTGCTACACTGCCATAGCAACAGGCTATAGCGAAGGAGCACATCACTTTGGTGATGTACCTGCAGCATCATGGTTTGAGCCCACTGATTCTACATTACCATAATGCATTACTACAGTGACATTGCATCTCATGTAGACGTGCCCAGCTTTGGATAGTGATGTACCTGTTTTTTTCTGGGGTAATGTCTCCAAGGTTGACAGTATTGTCCAGTGATGGTACAAAACATCCTTTTTGCTCAAAGACTCCCTGCCAACTCTCTCCTGACTTTTGTTGTTGTTGGTTCTTTCTTAATGGGAAGCAGACAGCTTGATCTGGATTTATAAAGGGCTCACCTCCCCTCAGAAATACACACACACACACACATTTTCTCTCTAACTCCTGACCGACGCTCAACCTTTTCTCCTTCTCCTTTTAAGCTAATGAGCACCCCCTGGTCTGGCTACCAGGGTGAGTCAGTCATGGCTCTGTCCTTCCATACAGGATCCCAAGGCTTGATGATCTGTCATAATTTGTCTCAACATATCACCAGTTTCATTCACTGATTTCAAACCCTGTCTCCTATCAAGAATGAAGAAAGCACAGATTTAATTTTTCTTTGAGCAACATCAAGCCTAACTCAGAAACAAATTAAATAAGAGCTTTCAGTTCATTTCATGTTTTCGTTTAGACAAGGTGACACCTCAACCCACTTGTATTATGGACCTTGGTACCAAGAACAAGTCAATTTTACCCTCCCTAAAACCTTGTTGACTGCTGAGGTGTTCGTTCTTTTGTTGCTCAAGGATGTTATAATTTGGCACAAGTCTGAGACTTGGCTTCAGTGTCTGCCTCTGCCATAGACTTCCTGTGTGATGTTAGGCAGATTATTTAATCATCCTGTAATTAAGTTTCCCCATCTGTGAAAGGCAACAATATTTCCTTTCTGTCACCACTGGTCTGTCTCGCTTGCTGAGGTGGCGGGAGAAGCGGAGCTAATTTTAGTGAGTGCCCTCCTGCCACTCAGCCTCTGCTCCCCACCAGCTCCCTGCTATCAGAGCAGAGGTACATGGAGATTGTGGGCTGGAGAGCCAGAATCCTGGCTTCAGTGGTCTTCTGGCTACAGGAAGCAGTGCCCAAATTACCAAGAGGACAGCACCCCTACGGTGCCAGAGGGGCAGGGCCCCAAGAGTGCCCCAAGTGCTGAGAGCCCCAGTACTCTGGCACTGCTGGTGCTACAACTCCTTGCACCCCGGGTCGGAGGAGGGAGGTAAAAGTGGCCAAGTTACTGGGAGAACATGGTGGGGGAAGACAGCCGCACTGTGGAGGACCAACCACCTGCATGGACATAAAGTGGAACAAAAAGGTACAAAGTAATACCTGCTCCCTCCATGGAAGTGTACATCAGTACAGTAGTTTTTAAAAAAACATTTTACTGTATTTTTAAAGCTTTTTGCAAAGTTCCAAATATTAGGTCTGTCTGCACCCTGAGCTTTTCTTCCTCAGGAACAGATTTACATGCATTATCCTGAGTGAAATAGAGCATGATACTTTATTTGAACTTTTTGAAGGGGATGAAGGAGAGAAAGGAGATCGGGGAGAAATGGGAAAACCTGGAAAAGTAGGACCAAAAGGACCAAAGGGTATGTATAATTATTTTAACATTTTTGCTATATCAATATTGAGGTCTAGAACAATACACCAATTACTAGTATTGGCAATAATTATGTATCTTAGTACATCAATGCAAGATCTCACAATATTTTTAGGCATTATTAATTTAAACCTAACATCATCCCCAAAAGTTAGGTATGGATACTAGTGTTACGTGATACATTACATGCATGCACGGGATTGGCTGAAAATAGTCATGTGACAAGTCAAATGTTTATTGCTTATCTAAGTAATCTTCTCACCTAAGATGTGGACCACTGTTAGCTACTCAGGTCATGTCTGCAAGCCTAAATCTATATCATTTCCTCAAGTCAAGTATACCCTAAAGTGGACCTATAGTTTACAGAGTTACTTCTTTAGGCCAAGCAGTTATGACATTCAGTGGAAGGCCATGTCTTTTTTTAGAAGGCATTCAAGGACTATGCGACTTGCCTCTATTCAGGAAGACTTTGTTGTTATTTAAATATCTGCAGAAAGAAATTTAGCAGAAGGAAAATAGGTAGATGATGCACTGCAGTACTCAGTGGGAACCTTGTTTGAATATTAAAGTTACCAAGTTAAAAAGTTAAGATCACGTTAAATCACTTGTAATGCTGAGACTGAAAAGGACAGAGCGCCAACTCACTGGAAACTGACACAGGGACTTTCAAAGCAAAATATACAAGCTGCTACACTGTGAGCTAAAAAGGAAAAAATTCTGCAAGGCAGCAGAGGGAGGGACTAGGGGATTGTAAGAGACCCATATATACTCAATGGCTGGGGCTGAAAGGAGAACCTATAAACACACACATTGGGCACGTCTACATGTGCCATTAGGGGACATCAATAACCTTTGGAGCTTATTGCTCCTGTTTCTTGCTCCCAGGAACGCATCTGCATGTGTGCCCAGACCACAGCACACTGAGATGGATTGCAGCAGCTCTAGCTGGAAGGGGGCCCCAGGAGGTAAGCCTGCCAGCCTGGGGCTGGTCTGCTGAGGCTCAATGTGCTGCAGAGGGGATGGCTGGGGCACAAGGGTGCTTCAGTGCAAGGCTAGCTAGCAGGCAGCCCCAGTACTGAAGCACCCTTGTGTCCCAGCCAACTGGTCAGCATCTACATGTGCACTGCTGCGTACAAAAGTACTCCACAGCAGGGTAATACTTACATTAGTTTTGTGCACCCTAGTAGGAGCACACATGTAGACACTGAGGTGTTTACTGTGCAGTTAGTCAACTGAACAGTAAATGCCTCATGTAGATGCACCCACTTACACTTGCTACCAGTTACAACTGAACTTGCATATCTTAACAAAAGAACAGATCAATCAAACAGTTAAGCTGTGTCCCAAATATAAATAAAATCATCCATATTCTCTTCATTGCATTCGTCTTAGGAAACAAAGGAGTAGTGGGAGATGTTGGTGATCAAGGAATGATTGGGAAAATCGGTCCGATTGGTGGAAAGGGTAAGTTCTGCCCTTTGTGTCAAAGCAGGTGTGTATCAAGGGCCTGTGTATGATTTTAAGAGTTACAGCTATTGGGTGAAATTATTCACATTTAAGTAATGCCTATGATTTATGTTTTCCAAACACAACTAGTATAGTTGGCTATTATGATATAATCTGAGGTGTATGCTCTAGGACCCATTTGGAACACACTGGACTTGTTTGGCTCGGACACTTTCCTAGCTGAGCAAAGCAAACTGCTCTGTTTTAGATTACATGACGAAAAACACAAAGGGAGAAACCTGAGGCTCATTAAAGATAACAGCTAAACATTGGCTGCTTGAAGACGTTAAAAAAAAACCAAACAAACCAAAAAACCTGCTTAGCAAAAGCAGCAGCACGTTACTTCACCCGGCTCTGCAACATCTGTATAGATCAGGTGCTTCAGCAGGGCTTTTTGGTACTTTTAACTAAAACTGATTCAATCAGCTATTAGATAAAATTACCAAAAATGCCGTGCAAAGCACCTGATCTATACAGATGTTGGGTGAGCTGTATCCAACTAACATTCTCTCTCTTCGGGGCATGCACTGGGCTCAGCATGGGAGCATGCTGAATTTAAAGTAATGCACCGTTTTAGTTTTTAATGCCTGCAATCAGCTAGTATCAACTCCAGTACAGCATCCCACATTTTTGCCCATATGCTTTCAAAGCAAAAGAACAAGAGTTACTATTTTGCCATGTATTTTTGATGCATAGATTCATAGATGTAGGGTTGGAAGGGACCTAAATAAAGCATCAAGTCCGACCCCCTGCCATGGGCAGGAGAGAATACTGCGCTCATTTGACCCCACCCAGGTTTCATAGTTTCTAGGGTCGGAAGGGACCTGAGC